TGCCCGCATGCACCCGGCAAATGCAAAATCTGTGAGGTGGGCTGGTTAAATGGGCATGGCGGGCCTTAGTTTGAAGACCCATGTTGTAGAGTAAGATTGAGAGCCGCAGGAGAATTATGTAAGCCACTTTGAATTTCGTATAAGAAAAAAGCAGCATATAAATCAAATAAATAAATAAACGTCTGACTACCTTCATTTGATATATGAATATGTCCATTAAGAAATGGTTCCAGACTTGACACATAAATCTGCTTTGCTGTTCCAGTGGGTTGTAATTATTTGCCATCCTTGCTGCTGCTAAAGAATACAAAACATGAGACCTGTTCAGATGTTTATCTCTATCCAGATGGCAAGCCACCTCCCCCTGTTGTTCACTCACTGAAAGACACTTCTGCGGCATGCATCCACACGCAGATGGGGGCCACCAGTGACTGCAAGATGTGGAATAGTAGATATAGCTGGGAGTCATACTTCTTTGATGACTGGGGTGTACGTCTGGACTAGGAATGTCTAATGCAGAATTCTCAGCCATTTCCCTTTCTACATTCCTTTGACAGATTGCACTAAAATTCCCATCCAGGTGTATCATTAACTTAATTGCGGCATTTTCCCTCTGCCCTCAATCCACAGAACTCAGGGCAATACCATTTTTCCTCCTTCCCACTTTATCCTTACAACAACTCTCCCAGGAAGGCTAGGCTGAGAGACAGACACTGGTACAGGGTCACCCAGTGAGCTTGATGGCTGAATGGGGATGGTCATGAGCAGAGCTGGCTGGAGCCAGGGGTCAGACTAGATGGCCCAGGAGACCCCTTCTGACTTGCTCTGTTTCTGTGTTTCTCTAAAACTAGCCCTCCTTGGTCCTAGTCCAGCACTCATGTATGAGGCTATCAATGGCTATGAAGCAAGATATCTGTATATTACCGCCAGTGGCAGAGTTGATGTACCTCTGTATACCAGTTGCTTGGGAATGTTTTTGTGGACATACCAGGGTTAGAATGCTATAACAGACAGAGCATTGCTAGGCTCAGCTTGAGTCTTATGTTCTTTTCTTCACACTAAAACTTATCACCGCACTCTTGTGTAGAGTTTATGAAACGTATATACTGCTCACCTGGCCAATACATCAGAGTGATCTGTAATTGCAAAATGAAAATTAAAAACAACAACAACAACAAAGAATGGAAATACCAAATATTAAAATATCATAATTATTGAACACATTACAGAGCCATCAGTAAAGTTAAAGATCAGAGCAACTCATTGAAAATTAATTGCCTCTTAGAAGAGAAAGCTATTAGGATGGCAAATAATTTATACATTGAAGATGTCAGATGGGTCTCCCTGGAAAGGGCATTCCACAGATGGGGACTGTTACAAGGAAGGCTGTTTCCTTTGCAATTCCATGTTGCAGCATTCTTGAATATTCTTGCAATCAAGGAGGAATACGTAGGAGAAGGTTCTCCTTCAGGTATATTGGTCCTAAGCTAGTGAGCAGAGAAGAAGTACTACAATTTCTAGTGTTACTCATCCGATCATTTTGTGACATTTTCTCACCTTTAGGATTTTAAAAGTCAATGCCAACACTTTGAATTGGACCGTAACACCCCAATCCAAATTATGTGTAAGCAGGCAATGTTGAAATGGGTAAATTCTGCCCAAACGTTAACAGCATTAAGTACAAGTGATGCTGTTTCTCTATATGTTCTAATAAACTTGCCATTTTTCTTTTGCCTGTAGCGATTTACCCAAATTATGCAAATAATGCTGCAGTAGAACTGAATGCTTGCAAGGGGTCCCACTTGGAAATATTAACTCAGCTTGCAAGTTCTTTGTAATTGCTAATAACATTGTTTTCAAAGGAAAACAAATAGGGAGAAACAGCACAGTGTGATAGTTTGGTTTTAAACTGATTCACCCAAAGGCAGACAAACTGGTGATCTAAGATTAATAGTTTGCTATGGCAGTCATTCCCCTAGCAGGCTGTCACCCCAAAAGTCAAGCTATTAGACATCCTTTGTGTAGCTATTTGTATTGAGGACAATGTCCAATGATTCAAGGGCAGAAGGGTTGGGAACAGAGCCTTCCAGGTGCCAACTCTATCTCTCTGGGTCTCATGTCCCTGCTGGAGGAATCTTCACCTGAAGAAAAACTAGAGACAGACAAAACAATGGAACCCCATGGCAGGGGTCCTGTGAAGAGTCTGGGCCCTCAGGGGAGATGGCCATGGATTTACCCCTGGAGAAAGGGAGTTCATCCTCTGGACTGGAGTGTGGACCTGGCCCTCTACAACATTGGCACTTCAAGGGTCAGACCAGCAGGACCTTTTCAGGAAGTGCACTGATAGAAAGGACTTCCCAGCAAGGACTACAGCAACACGTCCAGTAACAAACTGGGACTGAGGATCAGGAGACCCCAAAGAAGCCTGCAGGATCAGCTTAGTCTGCCCACTCCCCTGAGCTTCCATAGCATCAGCACTTTGTGATCGAACTGTTGTGTTACGGACATTGGCCTCCTGCTGCCTCTGCATCTTGCACTTTGTATTGTATCTGGCTGCTTATCTGTACTTGGACTATGGATGATCTTCAAACCTCCCTTTGGGACTCTTTCCTGGGAAAACTGCATCCTGCTACAAAACGTGCTTTTAAATTGCTCTCCTTTTAGTTTAAATTATTGCTCAACCCGATCTAGCCATAGCAGGATGGTGGGAGACTTGCCTTCAGGACCCTGGCAGCAAACTGACCAGAATGTGTTGGGGCAAATAGAGTCAGTTAAACTAGACTGCAGTGTAGGGCCATAAGGATGGTGGCTGGATTGCAGGGAAAGCTGTATGAGGTGAGCCTGAGGGATCTGGGTTTTTTTCAGCCTGGAGAAGAGGAGACCTGAATGAGGCGACATACGGGTATGTGAGGGGGTGTCACATGGAGGTGGGTAGAGACCTGTTCTCCCCTGCAGAGGAGGGCAGGACACACTCCAATGAGCAAAGCTCAGGGAGCCAAGGTTCCATTTGGATGCCAGGAAGCACTTCCAGACAGTTAGAACCCCAAGGGTATGGAATGGGCTTCCATGGGAGGTGGTTGAGGCCCCATCGGTGTGGGTGTTCAAGGATAGGCTGGACGTCCACATGGTGGGCATGTTGTGAGCGGAGCCGGCTGGTGCCGGAGGTCAGACTACATGGTCCTGGAGACGCCTTCTGACTTGCTCTGTTTCGATGTTTCTAAATTGAATTAGAATATTCTTTCTGACTCTCAATGGGACAGCCAGGATGAAAGTGAGCAGGAATGCCTTGCAGCAGTCATTGGCCCAATAAAGCGAGTGCATGCATTCTTGGATTCTCTTTGAGACTGTGGCCTCGGGGACAGTCATTATGAGCACCTTTGCCTCCAAAATCTACTCTGCTACACAAAATGTTTGACTCACTTTCAGCATTCAGTTTAGGGTGATTACACTTTCTAGTAGTTCTATCAAAACAACCACCACCACCTTGTGCAGGAGATTAGCATCTGACAACTGCGTATATGTGCGTTTTGCTCCATGCAGAGATAGGAAAGGCGTGGTTTGCTTTGACTGTGCAGTGCATTTGGTGTATTCACTGTGATGATTAGACACAGCAAACAAACAGGTATGTGTGGTTGTTTAAAACCTCTGCCTGCTGTTTCAGCAGAAAGAAACGTGTGTACACACTGTGGGAAGGAAAGCCCAACTTGTTGATCTGGATTTAGGCATGCAGAAGAGGGCTGGTGAAAGCAGAGTTTCCCTCCCCATGGCAGCCCTTCTTAATGCTAACATTACACAAATGCCTGGTGAATCTCCTGAATGAGCTGGGTTTTTTGGGGCAGGGAAACCAATGGAAGCAACTGCTGAGTCTTTCCAGCCACAGAAGGAAGGTCTTAGATTCAGCCCTTTTGGTTGGCACCCAGTGTCCACCTGTGGAAGCTGCTGTGCTATCCAGACTGAAGAACATCAGTAGCGGGTGGGCAGTGATACTTGTCTGCCTTATATGGGGGAAATTACCAAGCTAATCAAGTTGAAAGGCATATTCAAAAAGCATGTGTCGCAATGTTTAAATCAACTTCTTTGGCTCCTTTTGATTAACTAAAATGTACCCTCAGCTACCAGTAAATGCACGTACTTAAAAGTATTTATAAAATATTGACCGAGTCAGCTGTTATTTTAGAAGGGACATTTCCTCTTTTCAGAAATGGAAATTGTCACATGCACACATCTGTAAATGCAAAGCATTCTATTTTGCTTAGATAAATGTCCATGAGCTGTCCAGAGACCTGCGTATAATATCCATGCGATACATTGCCTGAACGAACGAAAACAAGAATAGCTTTGCTTTATTTATGCACATTTAATCACATGTCTGCTCGATCTAAACTCATGCGGTTAGGTGTTCTTTCATCGGGGGACAACTTTTTGAAAACACTCGCCCCCACTCCATATAGGTGATGAAACCGACTTCCAGACCCTGGCGCCCTTTAGGTATTTTGGACTACACCTCCCATCAGCCCCTACTCGTCTGGTCCATGGGCAGGGATGGTGGGTGTTGTATTGGAAAACCTCTGGAGGAGACCAGCTTGGGAACAGTAGCGCTGTGATCAAGGACGCGCGTCTGCGTTTTGAGCTCCCCAGAGCGCACCGCCATCCATCCCTCCGCGGCACCGCTGCGCTGCTCGGCGCTGGAATGCGCTTCCCGAGAGGGGGCGCAAGGCCACGTGACAGGAGAAGACCCTCCTCCGCGCATCTGCCTCCAGCGCCTGCCCGGGCGGCCCGCCCACTTCCTCAACTCTCCCGCGCGCTCCAGGCGAGGAAAGGGAAAGGCGGGCGGGAGCGGAGTGGGCGAGCCTGGCGCTCCGTGGGCCAGACGGACGCGGCGCGCGTCCAATGCACACGAGCGCTGCCGCCCCGAGGGGAGGGGAAAATCGGGAGGCTGCGCCCAATGAGGCTGCGGCCGGAGCGGGACTTCCTTCGGGGATCCCGCCGGAGAAAGCCAGGGCAGGAGAGGAGGTGACACGTAAGTGCGGGGCTGGAAGGTGGCCAAGGCGAGGCAGGGCGCGGGGAAGTTCTCCTTGCCGGCGGTGGAACGGCGACGACGAGGAGCGCAACTTGAACGCAGACGCGAGAGAAGCGCCCCGGGACTGGGTATCGCGACAAGGAGCCCGGCTTCGGAGGTGGGAAAGGCTTTGGAGGGGTCGCCTAGGACGAGCAGAAGCAACGGGGCAGTGGGAGAAGGCGGTGCCCCTCCGCTTGCGCCCCCCCCCCCCCGTGAATGAGGGAAAGTCATCGAGCTGGTTGAACGGGGCGAAAGAGAGAGAGAGATAGATCGTGGCAGAACAACCTTGAGATTTCCCTGCACAAATTGCAAGCAAGGGAAAACCGCTGCGGGGATGCTCCGCTTCTTCGGAGCTGCGCTCGTCCAAGCGAAGTTGTAGAAACGTCATTCTGAACGCATGCGAAGAGGGGAACTGGCCCCCTCTAGAAGGCAAGGGCCCTTGCAAGGGAGAACAGCTTCTGATACCCCCCTCCCCCCCCATGCTAAGAAAATAAAGAGATCCTGGAAAAATCCCACGCCCCCGTCCAGCCGGGCTGCAGCATGAGCGCGGAGACCGGGCGAAAAGTAGCGCAGTGCCAAGTAGCGGCCGGTTGAAGTTGGTGCCGGGGTGTGTGGCAGCAGCGTGCTAGGACTCGAGCTCTCCCGCTCCTGCTGTGAGCGCTGCCTAAAAGCTGAGGTCTCGAGGTGGACGGGCGCCTGGATCCTCCCAGGAGGGACTATGGGCAACGGGATGTGCTCCCGAAAACAGAAGCGGATCCTGCAGTCCCTCTTGCTCATCACCGTGGTGTTTGGCTTCATCTACGGGGCGATGCTGTATTACGAGGTGCAGAACCAGCTCCGGAAGGCTGAGGCGATGGCCCTCAAGTACCAGCAACACCAGGAGTCTCTTTCGGCGCAATTACAAGGTAACAGCTGCCTTTCTCCTACCCAGGAGGGCTCCTGAAGCTCAGTGCTGTCATATTGCATCCTAACAGATTGGCTTGATTCGTCCTCAGTAGCGTCATTGGCCTGTGTGGTTATTTTTATGACTACATATTTATAGCCTGGCTTTTTTCATCTTGTGAGCAACCCAAAGTAGTTAACATACTTCTGTTTTTCTTCACAACAGCAGCCCTGTAAGGTAGGTGGGGCAGAGAGGCTATGACTGGGCCAGAGGTACCCACTGAGCCTGTGGCCGAGAGGAGACGAAACCCTGGATCTCCCGGGTCCCCAGTACAACACTTTATCCACTGTACCAGCTCACACTGTAATATATACATGCAGTTATATGTACTTCTCTGCTGTTGAATCTACTATTGATCTCTGTGATGCTATTGGGAGTTGAATGTATACAACTCTGTGGGCTTAAAGAAATAGAAGTGCTACTTTTGTGGACTTAAGTCAAGGTCTGTGCAATCTCTTCTGCTACAAGCAGGGCATGAAGATATACTGTTCCTGAAAATGGAGGTTCCATGTAGCTGACAGCCACTGATTAGACCTAGCCTCCCTGGATTATTATAGGTACCTCAATTGGCTAATAACACAGTGCATGAAAACTTTGACATCATGTTATAGGAAAGTTATTGGAATTTGCATTTTCAATGCTGGTAGTAATGTAGCTCAGGTTAATTAAGTTACTAACTTAATTAAGTTACTATCAGTTAAGTAACTGATAGAACAATGTGAATAATAACAGTCATTCTTGGACAGTGTACAAGCACTATGATTTCAGTAAATCTGGGATAGCCAATTAACCGGAGGTTATGAAGCAATTATATCTGGCCTAATATTTAATCAAGTTAAATTATTCCTTTGCTTTCACTTGTAAAGAGAGGGAGTGATTTAGAAATGGGCTGAAACAGAGTGTTCATTCTCTTTCTGTTTTGCAATACCCAGGTCATTTGCTCCATAATTGTGAAGGCCGTTTAATCTGTGTGCACAACTTTATTGTAGCGCCTGAGTGCCTCTGAAGGAAGCATTTGTATGGCAAAACACACTCCTGCTCTCCAGATCACTGAAATGTTTTGAAATTAGAGAGGTACATTTCCATGTGAACTGGCCTCGTCCACACTTCTCAGATTAATGAGTGCGGTAGAATGCAGCTATATTAGGAACCCACACTTCTCTGAATGTTGTAGTGTGGTTGTTGGCTCAAAAAATGAATGCATATTTTATGATGAACTAGTTTTAGAAATACAGAGTTTGTGTTGCAATATATTCAAATTAGTATTCAAATACACATTTCTGTGCAGATGTTTTAAAAAATACAGATTAACATGACAATGACACAGAACAACTGTATGAATAAACATGTGCACAAGTGACCAGAAATACGATTACATTACATTGCATTCATTACACTGCATTTCTATTTTACTTTTTTTTCTTCTTGTGAGGAACCCAAGGTGGCTTTCTCCATTTTATCCTCACAACAGCCCTGCAAAGTAGGTTAGGCTAAGAGTGAATGACTGGGCCAGGGTCACAGAGGGAGCTTTGTGGCCAAGTGGACACTAGAACTTGGGTGTTTTGCATCTCCTGTCCGACACCACCACACCACACAAGCTCATCCATTTCTTTCTGAAAAGTGGAATATGCAGCAAGACAAGTAGCTGATACCTCATGTAAATTCTGAATAGGAAGTGCTCTGGTGTGACTCAGAACTAGCCTTTCTTATATATCTACATGGGTGATTGTATTTATAATATAAGGTTGGATATATGTAAGCATTCATACATGCATATAGACATTAGCTGATTGCAATTATTCCATGAAAACTATATAGGTACTTAGTTTATATGTTTTTCATGCTGGAACATCCAATATGTTCATCCTTTGTAGTCGCCCTTTCTCGTGGTGCAGTATCTCTGTGGTGTAATGTAACCAGTAATTAACGCGTTGCATAGAAGCATTCTTCTCTTTTGGACAGAGGCTCACAGTTCGGCATCTGCCAACAGGCATTGATGTAACTGAGCGCTTGGAAATTCACTAATGAACGTTGACGTGCATTGATCTCTGGACATTCATGATATTGTTTTTCCCCCCTGAAAACTCTAATAGTCTGGATCACTGAGAGTGTCGTCCTTACTTTTTAGAAGGAATCTATGAGATGACAGTATTAGGAAGCTGGTGTTTGCATTTTGCTACGGACTAGTTCACAGCAACAGATTACCACCCAATGTGTCTGTCCAAACTGATGACGGCTGTTAATCAGGCATCTCAAATCAAGCTGACTTATTCCTTCTCCTCAGTCACAGTGCTTTTCAATTAAGTCTGTTCAGAGAGCCAGTTGAAAATTACGACGTGTTGAGAGCCCAAGGTGTAGTGCAATGGTTAAGAAAGTGGGCCTGAGACTCAGGTGATCTGAGTTCTAGTCCCTGCTCAGTCCTGGGTCTGCTGGGCAGCTTTGGGTTGGTCACAGACTCTCAGCCCAACCTACCTCACAGGGGTGGTATTGTGGGGAAAGCAGGAGCAGGAGAATTAGTAAGCTGCTTTGAGTTCTTTAAAAAAAGGGGGGGATATAAATGAAGAAAAGACAAAATGAAGGGGTTTTCCTGTATGTGTGAAACAGCTGAAGGAGTCAGTGCAAAGTGATCTTTATCTACCTGTGAATTAGTGCTCACTGCAAGGTAGGCTTTTCATTTCCTTCACATAGGAATCTGTCAGGCCATTGGTCCTATATCTTTGATTGGTGGTAGCTTTCCAAAATCATAGGAGGAGGTGTTTCCCTTTTCCCACTGTCTGATCTTTTAAATTTGATTGGAGTTGTCAGGAATCAAACCTGGAGTAGAAGGAGTGGGCTAGGGCGCCCTGCATAGGAAAAAATAGGAACTGAGTTTGTGTGTGAGCAACTGAGAATCTAGATCTATTCATCTGTCTAAAACGAGTCTCTTGTTGAAAGGTCCTAGCAAAATCAGAAATTGACAAACTTGCGTACCCCAAGGGTACCAAAAAGGTGAAAGAAATACATGGACTAGGAGTTGACTGTGTGGCAGATGGGCAACTCTGGCAGTTTGATATGTTTGTCAAACGTATTTGAAGAGCAGTGGCTGAGAATGAACATCCTGTTCCCATGTGAAGTTAAAATTCAACAAGTCTGCTTTCTCTCTCTCACGCCCCCACCCCCTTCAGTTTGCTCTTGCAAACTGGAAAGTAACAGGGATTTGCTCTTGCAATTTACAGGTGATGTTGGGAGACTTTGGCACATTGCTTTCTTCATCTGAAGCGAATGCTGGCTGGACAATTTTCTTATCAAAATAGGCAAATGCACAAAAGGCTGTTGCATAGAAGCAGTCAGTCAGAAGAGTAACAGATCATGGATCACAGAGCAATTTATCCAAGGAGGTGTTCCCAAGATAATTTAATGCATATTAGTTAAACTTTCATCAGGATCTGACAGATCTTTTGTTTGCTCCAAGAGATGACTGAAATGGGAAGTGGGTGCTTTTCCAATTCTGCTACAGTTTGTAAGGTTCAACGAGGTGGTCTGATTACATCAACCATTTGATTTTAATTTTTTTTAATGCATGATGCTCACAAGTAATGTATAGCACTTACAATTTCTTAATTACTTGCAGCTGAAAATTGGGACAAATACCATTGAAAAGCACTGTGTGCAAGTCTGTATGTACTTTAGTGTACACATTTTTGCTTGATGTTTCAGTCTTCAAGTGATATGAATTTGCATGTGTAAACCAACCAGCCTTCCATACTAGCCAATCTACATGGATTAGTTGGCTCCCTTTCTATTCATCAAGTTTGATTTCTGTGCAGAAGAGTATAGTCCCTTGTCTTTTTCCCTGCTAACCTGTTCACTGGGACATTGTTCTGTGTCCTGAAGGATCACACTGGTAAGCCCAGCATCAAGAAGACCACGGGAGGAAAGGGACAGGAGAGCCTTCATTGCAAATGTTTGCCCTGACTGACTGAACAAATACCATGGGATTATGCTTCTGCTGTACCTGTATTAAAGTTCAAGGGGATTTTCAGTTTTCCAATGAAAAAACACAGTTGTTGCAAGTTGGAATGTTTTCAGCGCTGATCTAAACTTAACTTTATGTGCGTATGTGTCTCTGCAGGCAGGTGTGTGTATTTGAATTGAAATGTCCTGCACAGGAAGTCAGGAGTCCAGATGCTGCATTAGATGCCATACTCCTGGTTCCTTTTTCTGCATTTGCCCAGCTGCACCCTGAGCAGTGCAGTGACAAGCTACCATGAACTAATTTCCCATGGGAGCAAGTTGCAGAAGGAGCATGCTATGGCTTGGCGCTACATGTGAACCTGGCCAGAGTGAGTTATTTGGGTGGTTAACAAAATACCCAGATCCCATGGCTTGTTTTAGGGTTGTTATCTCTCCCCCACCCCACTCCACACACACACACAACCTACCTGGATGGATTCACACAGAGCAACAAGCTGTGGGCATGTGCCCTGCTCTGTTTCCATTTTAAAAATGTCAGCTGGGATGTCACTGCAAGCCCTGTGGGACGATCAGCCCATGGTAGATGGTCATTGTGTGTGAACAGAGGAGCTGACTGGGAGACAGAAGGGAAAGCCAGCTGTGGGGTATAGCTACGTGGGGGTTTGGCTTGGAGGGAGGTGCTCATGGTCTTGGTTTGCCTTGAGGCCCAGATCTAGGAAGTTCCAAGCCCTGTTTGCAAAGCATTTGCTGCAAATAGCTCTTTCACTTTTCATGTCTTTCAAACCATCCTTAAAGGTTTGAAATAGTCTAGGTTAACAGGAACAATGAAAATATGAAGTAAAACAGCTTTGGTGAAAAAGAAAAACAAGTTGTAGTGTATTTTTCAGCCAAGGTGTGTATTTGTCTTTTGTAGCTTGACTGTTTGCATGATGGATGTTCAGGGAAGCTGATTGATTGTTGGCTTCATCTTGCCCTTCTCCCCATTTTTCACTATTCTATTTTCTTTGA